TTCCCTAAAATTAGTTCATTGTCTTTTTTAGTCAGAAGAAAAGAAGACGTCGATTAAAAACAATACCTGAACATTAGCCACCACTCTGAAACTCAGGACTCCAGCAGGAGGAGGTACAACCCAGACTTGGGGCTGATTTGGGAGGGCGGCTGTGTTCCCAGAGGGGCCCAGGGCCCCAGAGCCCAGCCTGCCAGGGTAAGGCTGCAGAAGCAGGAGAGCAGGGGCAGGGACATCAGCGAAGACCCCATAGACCAGTCATTCGAACACCGATGGTGGGTGACGTTGGTCAAGGAGCCTGGCCTGTCTTACGCATCGACTGTCATAACCACACTGAGGTCAGGCTGGCTTCTCTCATCCAACTTAACAACCGACTTTACAAACAATTCAACCCATTGTGCATCTGTTGATTAGATCATCCAGAGACTGAAAACCTAGACTGACCCATCTTCCTTCCCACTCATTGAGCTGTGTGTCTGGGATATGAACTGAAATTCATCCATTAAAGTTTAAAAGAAAAAAATATTCAGCTATGAGGATGTTCACTGCAGTATTAATTATATTGTTGCCCATAAGAGAATAGTCAGTGACCCATCCGTACAGTAGGGGAATAATACGCAGCTAGCAAGTGCATGTTCTCCAAGAATATCTAATGACAGGGGACAATCTGGACACCATATTGTACTGACGAATCGAAGAAAACCGGGTCCTACATTCTACTAATTATAAGGGAAAAGCCACATACACGAACACACAGAAAAAAACCCTGCAGGCGATTGTCAAATGTCAGCAGCGATTATCTCTGGGTGGTTTTCTCTTCTTTGTATCTTCCAACTTGTCCATATGAACATGTTATTTTTTTAGCTTCAGGAAAAATGTGTTTGGTTTTCTTTCTTTCTTTTTTTTTTTTAACTAATGACTTCTAAGACCAAAAAAAATTTAAAAATCACAAACGAACTTTGAAAGGGTGATGGTTGAATGCTGGTCACTCCCCATGCAGAACACATAGCTGTGCTAGCACAGCACACACATCTCCTAAACACCAACCTGCAGACTCCCGGGAAACCTGCCCCGCGTCCCTGACTTCCTCTTCCTCTTTCTTCTGATCTTTCTCCTTTCCTCCCAGGGCTCTTCCCACAGGGAGACGCTGGCTCCCTGAGGTCTGTCTTGAGAACAATGAGAGTTCTGACTTTTTCAGGATTCGAGGCTGCCAGGCTCCCCTGCTACAGGTCCTGCACACCCTGGCCTCCATCCCACCTGCACCCTTGCCTCTCTGACCTGGTCTCTCCCTGCCCCAGGGTCTGAGCACAAGCTGTTATTCTTGCCTGACCCACCCATCTTCCCCCAGGTGGCTGTGAGGGCTCCTTCCCTGTCCTGCATGTACTAGTATGTTGGCATTACATAGTGCTATCCATGAACTTTCCTTCAGAGTAGTACAGAATGCCATAAACATCTGTGATAAAAGGGGTCACGGTCTGGCAGGGCTGAGGACGACTGCTGTACTGTGATGGCTAGCTGGCATTTCTGTCTCTCGCGCTAAATTGGAAACTCTGGGAGGGCGAGGACTGAGTGCAAGCATATCTGCTGAAATGGAATGAATGAGTACATGAGCAGGTCCGAGAGGTGAGTCACACTTGCCCGTGTGTGCGGGGACCTGACTGGGAGGCAGCGAGGACATGCTCACTGGCCTGGAACTAAGATCTGGGTGCCCCGCAGGCCTAGGGGGAGCTAGGGTCCCAGAAGGTGAGAGCAAGGAGCTGCCTGCTCCCTGGGCCGCAGCACCCCTGCCTCTGCAGAGGCCCCCACTCGCCAGGCTGCTCAAGGCTAGTGGCCCCACAAAGCCCACAACGCCCATAGCTGTTCATGGACCGTGGAGGCCCATGGCGTCACTGTGGGGGAAGGGAAGACTCCCTGGGGATTCTGGGTAGAATCCTGCGATCTTAGGCCACTTCCACCTCTCTGTGTCTGTAAACTGGGGTCAGCACGTCTACCCAGCCTGTAGTGGGAACCAAAACAGACTGTAAACCGGGAGTCCTGGTCTTCTTGTGAGGACGATGCAATCTTGGTCAGTTACACGGAATAATACTGGGCTTTCCTGCTGAGCATAATTGAACGGTGATTCATTCAGGAGCTTAAGCTCATCATTGTCAACATCAAGTATCACGGACCATTTTAAAAACCAAATGCTGATTGTTGGAACTTTCTTGGTATTTTGATTCTAGATGAGCAAGGCTTTCCTGCAACCTATCGAAGTGTGCTGGGAAGCATGCTGGTCACTGCGGAGGCCACGCGAATCCTTCGCAGTCCCGCCGCCCACGCATCCCCGGGAGGAGGAGGGTTTGTCTGCCTCGGCAGAATGCATTCACTGGAGCAGGAAGCTCTGCTCTGGTGGGAACCCATCTCTCCACTCCACCCTCTTCCTTTGATCCTCCCACGGAATCGGGAGCTGAAACAGCGGAGGCAAAGCCGCGCAGATGTAATTATTTTAATTCAGCCAGATGCTGGGAATTAGTCTCTTTTCCTCGCAAGTCTTCTAGGGAAAGACAGACTCAGCCAAAGACGGCCCAAAGAAAGGAGCTGCCGGCTTCAGGGAGGGAGGCCCCTGTGCTGGAAGAGCTTACATCCAGGAAACCGCTGCCATTCCTGGATGCAGCCGGGAGGGGGAGGGGCGGAGGGGGCGTCTAATAGGTATTTCATTCAGACGGTTCAGCAATCCCAGAAAACTAGACCAAATAACAGCACCCAGCATTTTCTAGAGCTTTAGAATTTCTTTAGGAAGCACTTTCACTTTCCTGACCTTATTTAATTATAAACTAGGGAGGATGTCACTGGCTGAGCTAGAAGCTTGGGGGCAAACTGAGGGGAGGCCGCAAGGAATCCAGTCTTTCCCAGGCGCCCTGTAGAAGCCAGTTAGGCACAGTCCATCTCTAACCTCACAGCAACCCTCTGGCATACAAGTGGGGAAACTGAGGCTCCGGAAGCTTGACCAGAAGCTATCTTCCGTGTCAGCTGGGTTCCTCCCATACACAGGTGCGGTTTCATCCTCACCTGCTGCTGTGCTTCCTGCTCATTCAGTCACAGGTTGTGATAGGTCATTGTGAGCACCTACTGTGCGCCCAGCTCTCTGCTGGTGGAGACACTGGGGAGGTTGAGGCCTCTGTCAAGCTCCTCCAGACCCACTGAGGGCCGCAGAGCAGTGGACAGACCAGAGCCAGCAGGGGCGTGTGCATGGACGTGGTTCTTACTGTAGTGCCCTCTTATCCATTGCACCTCATTCTCCCACTGCAAGCGGTTTGGGACCCCACAGCCTGGTGGTTAAAGACCCGGCCCTAGAACTGGACTGCCTGCGTTCAATCTACTCAGTGGCCATGTGACCTTGGGCAGGTCACAGGTTCTCTGCAAAATGAGGACCATAATACATCAGAAATTATAATGTCATACTACACATTACATTACATATTATAATACATGAGATCAACAAGTCGATACATGTAACCACTTAGCACAGTGTGTGGTTCAGGATAATCCCTCAATTAATATCGGCTAACAATTTACACCTCCATACCAGGAGTTCCCAAAGTATGGACCAGGACACACCCCACCCCCCCACCCCTGGGTCCATGAGGCAGAAACTATGTTCATAATAATGCTGACAAGACATGGAATTTTCTAGAAGTCACACGACGGTGGTGCCACAACACCTGCCTGCAGAGCAGACGTGCGGATGCAGTCCTCGTGTCGGGCGGATTGAAGAGATGCACAGGAATTAAAACAAGGCCACTCCTCTCACTAGATGACTTTTGTTTTGGAAATACAGCTATTTTTCAAACAAGATGTTATTCATGTTAACCAGCAGCGGGGTAAACTAGTGCTATTCTTAAATACATGAATACATCATTTAAATTGTTTCTAATCTTAAATGAATGTCGAGAGCTAACAGACACAGGAGTTGCACCCACTTGCACGGAGGTCAGGAAACCTTGTCTCTCCGCATCCCGCGCAGGCCCCTAACCGCCCAGGGCACTGGCTCCTCAGGTGACCCCAGGCTTGGTCTGGTGCTCACGCTCTTGCTGCCCCCACCTTTCCTCCCGGGACCCAAGCTCCTACCCGGGCTCCTAATTACCCTAAAGGCATGCCGGCCGGGTGGTTTGGGGCAGTGAGCCCGGGTTTTAGAGTCAGGCTGACCTGGATATGAACCCTGACTCTACCCCTTTTTGCCCTTCATCAGGTGGCTTAGCCTTTCTGAGCCTCCATTTCCTCATCCATAAAATGGGAATAACACAGTATCTAAAACTGGAACTGTTTCAGGAGTAGCGATAACTTGTGTAAAATACCCATCACCTGACAAGTAAGTCCTGTTTTACCATCATCATCAGCCATCGGGTCCCCAGAGCCCCTCCAGCTGCGCCCGTCCACTGCTTCTCACAGTCGCACAGAACAAAATCAAGGCTGCCTGGCACTGAGACTCTGCTTCCTAGTGCGCGGGCGCACACACACACACACACACACACACACACACACACACGTACACATGCATGCACAACCACACACGCGCACGCACTCTCACACATACACGCCTACCACACGCCCTCGCTCTCTCATTCCATGCAGGGTGTCACCCTACTCTAGAGCTAAAAGTGAAAAATGACAGTAAATGCCAAGCGCCCAGGCTCCAAGAGTGAAAAGGCCCCCCTGCTGCAGGGTTGGTGCCAAGGCAGTGCTGGCTCAGGACAGCGAGTGGTGCCACGACGGGGAGTGGAGGAGGCCTGCGGGAGCCAGGGGGCAGGGCGCTGCTGCTGACGGCCTCCGTGAGCTAAGCAAGGAAAGGCATTCGCCTTCCAGCTCCGTGTTAGGGAATTCTGGGAGAGGGACGACTGAGGAGCCCTGTCTTCCTGTCCCCTCCCAGGACCACAGGGTCCCAGGGCCACAGGGAGGCCAGCCTCCCCTCCATACCACCCACCCCACCCCCACCAGGCCTGCCCCGCGGTCCCTCTGCCACTCACCCGACAGTTGCTGAGCTCCTCGGCGGACAGGATGATGGTGCCGCATTTCTTCCCTGGGACACCGCTGGGAGAGAAGAAGGTGAAAGGATGGAGAGCCAGCCAGACAGAAGCCAAAGCCTGAACCCTCCCTGAACCAGCCCTCCTCATCCTCCCACCCCCACCCCCCAGCAGATCTGCCAGATCCCCCAACCCCCTCCGCCCCCCACCCCCACCCCCCACCCCCTGAAGACAGTCTCCAGAAACACGGTGCAGGGCGGCTTAGGGCACTGCTTGCTGGGCCAGCCCCGGCCTGGAGCTGCCGCCCCTGCTCCCACCAGGAGAGGCAGCGTCTGCACTGCAAGTCCTAGAATCAGAGAAGCATCCAGACTCACCCAGAGGCTTCCAGGCCTGTGGTTCTGTCCATCCAAAGACCACTTCTGTGGGCAAAAGACCTTGTGGGCAGCCATCCCACCTTGCACGCAGCTGACCCCAGAGTCCCAGAACGTTCCAGCCCTGAGCCGCTCTGATTCATCTCAGCAGAGCAGCAACAGGGAGTAACACAGAAGGGCTGGCATACCCTTGGGGGAGCGTGCCCAGCCTTTCTCCCATGCCTACCTCCCCTGGACCAACTCCTCAGGGAGGTCGGCCCACCCAGGGAATCTCCACCAGGAGAGCAAGTTCCCAGGGAACTTGACCTGCACCGCCTCTTCTCTTATTCGGGAGGAACCCCTCCCACCAGAACCAGTTGATCCCACGCCAATGTTTGGGACTAACAGGGGTCCCAGTGCGGCCAGGGGCCCTTGGGAGCTAGAAGAAAATGTCACAGTGTCCAGCAGCTGCATGACTTTGGGCTGAGACTCTCTGAGCCTCAGTTTCCTTACCCATAAAATGGGTATGATTATAGCATCCGTTTTACTAGTGAATATGCACACATAGGCCTGGCACAGAGAAGACCCTCAAGGAGCATCATTTCCCTCCCTGCCCCCTTTCCTTTATATCTGTGGTTCTCAAAGTGTGTTCCACAGACAGCATGCTGGTGGCCCCACACTTCAGGCCAGCCTCAGAGTCACCAGCATGCTGACTGTGGAACACACTTTGAGAACCACGGATGGAGCTCTTCCTCACACCAATTCTCAGAGGAAGGGGCCTTCGCACAGGGAGGCAGGGGAGGCAGGGGAGGCAGGGGAGGCAGGGGAGTGGGTCTGATCAGCAGGCCTAGATCTCTCTGTATCAGGGGAGCAGGGGCCACTTCTGGAGGTTCCCCTGTCACAGGTAGGTGGCAGGGCCTGCCAGCTTGTCCCCTTAGACAGGGGCAGCTGAACTGGGTGCCCCCCTGTCTGGCCCTTCCTGGTAGTAGAGAAATGATTTGTGGACCAGGTGATAAAACCCTCACACCAGCCTCCTCACCCAGCACCTCTCCATCTGCCCTCTCTGCCTCTGAGCCCCTCTTCTATTGCCCATCTTCCCTTCCCCTCCCCAGCCCTGCTCCACCTGCTCGGCCTTCCTTTCTGTCTCTCTCCCCCCTCCCCTCTGGTCTTTCTCACACACCTCTCCCTCCCTCTCTCTTTCTCTCTCTGACTCCGGCTCTCTTTCTAATTGCTGCTTCTCTACTCCCAGGTCAATCAGCATCCACCCCTCCTGGGCTGTGAGCCGCCCGGTCCCGGAGGCCCCTCTCCCACACCCAGCTGGTCTGGTGGTTACCAGCTGCTGGGACCCCAGCCCCTGGGAGCCCTCCGCAAGCTCTGCTCACTCAGCCTGGCCATCATCATCCGGAAGCACCTCCGGCTGGACCCCAAGCCCAGCTCCCTCCCCTGCCCGGTGGGTAAGGACCCTCCCTCCTACCAGGAGAGGAGAGGGGAGGAGTGGGGAGGGTCTGCGTGAGGCCAGCCGAAAGCAGAGGCCAGAGCGGGGGCTGGAGGCCGGCCGCTGCAGCTGGTGAGCAAACGCAGAAAGTGAGGATTCGCTAAAGCTACTCTGAGGAGGCTGAGAGGAGGCCGACATCCAGCAGTGGGAACCGTGGAGGGGAAGGGGGTGAGGGGAGGGGAGAAGGGAGGCAGAGGGGGACAGAGGAGGGTGAGTGGCGAGAGGAAACCAGGCCAGACAGAGGAAGGGAAGGGAAAGTGCCCAGTCCCTCTGACTCCTGTTAACAGCCCCTACCTCTAGGCCCCACGCTGCTCACAAAGTCCCGGGAGCCACTGGGGCTCCAGCCTGGATGGGGGCGGGGTCAGCTACATGCAGAGTGCCCCAAAGTGCCTGAGCCCTTGCGGAGGGACCGGGCCCTCTGTCCCCGGCCAGGCTGGACGCACGGTGGCGGGAGTGGGACAGGGCCAGGACTCGAGGCCCCTCTGCAGAGCTGGCGGAGGGTCTGAGGACTCCAGCCAGAGATGTCTGGGGACCTACCCGCTGGACACAGCCGGCATGGGTTTGCCCGTCCTGGAGTTCAGGCTGAACGCTCCTATCCTGTGCGGAGAGGAAGAGAGCGGGTCGTGAGCTAAGCTCCCTGTCCTGAGAGGGCAGAGCAATGGCTTCTGGATTCGTGGAGACAGGTTTCTGTCCTGGATCAAACATCAAGGTAGGACCAAAAGGCACAGGTCTTCTCCCAAAACCTGGTTGTAAAGTCCTGGGTGACGCTACCTCAGGGGTTCTCAAAGAGGGGTTCCGGGCCAGCGGCATCTGTACCGCCTGGGAATATGCTAGAAAGGCCCCACCATCTTTGTTTACCAAGCCCTCCAGGGGGTGTGAGGCCCCTGCAGCCTGAGAACCACTGCACCTCTCTGAGCCTTGGGCCCAGGCTGCGGAGTGGGGAAGTGCGGAGGGATCCCACGGGGTCACAGAAGCAAAGCTGTCTGGCCCAGAGCAGAGGCCTGGTGATCGGAGCTGCCCACAGGCCAGGCCAAGACCACCACTGCCCTGAGGCACTGGACCCTTCAGTGGACAGAAGAGGTCCCCTCCTCCAGCAACACCGAACATCTCCCAGCCCCCACGGTTTAGATCTGCTTCCCCTGAAGGCACAGCTCCCCAGGCCCCTCCTACCCAGGTCTCCCTCGATCCCCCCAAGGGGCACCAGGTGACAGCGGGTAGAAACCTGACGCAAGTGGCTCATGGGCTTTTGACCCAGGCAGTTGGGAGCTGAGAGGGGCAGACACACACTCACTCCTGGGTTCCCACATTCTATGCTTCAGAGCCCCCCTAACCTGAGTTTGCTCCCTGTTTTCAACAAATGATAGCTGTTATCATTATTTTCTGTGAGCCCGGAGGTGGTGACCTTTTGGGGGACAGGGAGGCCTTTCTGGGGGCCCTGAAGTTACTCACAGTTACTAGGGAGTCAGAGACAGGGCCTTGGAGAGAGACCCCCCCACCCCCTACACACACTCATAATAACAGGTTCTGCAATTACTGATCATGTGAGGGGACAGCAGCCAGTGTGGACTTGGCAGAGGCAAGTTGGGGGTGTGCCCCACCCAGCCTGATCCCTCTCTCCTGCCCACCCTGCCCAGGACCTGGGTGCTTATGCCAGTTTTCAGGCCTCTCTTGCCTGGGCTTGGCTCCTGGCGTTTCCTGAGAAATGGGGACAAGAGAGGTCACCCCCACCACCTGGTCACCCTCAGACTGCGCCGTGAGAAGCCTTGGGTCTCCATCCCAGAGCCTGCTCAGAATAACGGCTTCCCCCTGCAAGCACTTAACACCCTTTAATGCGGGCCGTCAGGGGCAGCGTGAGATGGGGAGGGCCTCACTGTACCCGCTCCGGCCCACACCGAGGGTGAACAATCTGAGCACGTGCAATGTGAGTAGAACCCTCCATTCAACAAACCCCAGCTCTCCCACTTCCTAGCTGTGTGGCCTTGGACAAGTTACTTCCCCTCTCTGGCCTTTGGGTTCTTCCCCTCTACAAGGAAAGGGCTGGGGGATGAGATAGCATCCCAGGGCCGTCCTAGCAATATGGGGCTCTAATAACCAGCTGGGGTTCCTCCAAGGTAATTGGTTAAAAGCCCTGCAAGGGGAGGGCCCATGGGGTCTCTTACTCCTCACCCCTCCTCGCAGCCTGCCCTCTGCAGGGCTGGGCAGGAAGTTGGCCCATCACTGAAGAAGGAACCCAGACAGGCCCACTCTCCTCTACACTTACGTGAGGGGCTTCTCCAGGCGGCTCCCGGGGGACCCCACAATCTCTCCGAGGGTGCAGAAGGCCTGGCCCAGGAAATCCTGCACATCGGAGTACAGAAAAGACCAGTGTCGCCCACTCTGCTCACAGCCATCCAGCACCCCCACCCCCCCACCCCCCGGAAGTGTGATGGCTCTGAAACGACAGGACCCGCATCGGACACACACACTCGGTCACAGGGAAGCAAGGCTGGCTCGGACTGGCATTTAAGAAACTGGTAGAATTGCTGGGCAGTGACAGGTGGGACTCACGTGTTTGGATAAGTCAGGGCTCTTCGAGTCAACGTCGTATCTGCAGAAAACACAGAGGTGGTGAAGGGGTCCTGCCCAACCCAGTCCCAGTCAGGACCCCAGCTCCCAAAACACGGGCTCTGATACCAGGAAAGCTTGGACCGGGGAGAGGCCAATGGGGTCCTCCCTGTCACCTGGGGAGAAAAGGGCTGCCAGAGCTGGAGCTAGACTTGTCCCCAAGATCTCTCCTCAACCCCCAGTACCCCGCCAAGTCAGGTGGCTGCTCAGTGCCTCCCACTTAACTGAGAACAATGGGGGTGCTTTGTCCCCTCTCCCACCTCCCTTCCTCTCCCAATGAGGCTGGACTCCAGCTAATAGTCACCTTTATCCCAGGCCAACCTGGGCTTCCTCTAACACCACTGCCCCCCTTCCCTGGAAAGGGGACCCCCTGCCCAACCATAGGTCCTGTGGCCGCACCTCCCAACACTGCTTCCTCCCCAGCTCCATCCTCGGCACCAGCTTCCACTTACAGGTCGAAACGGAGGTTCTGCTTCTCCTCGAAGAAGTAATCCACAATGAATTTGCGCACGAAGTCGGGGTTGAGAGTGTTGTCGATGACCTCGGTGCGTCCGAACTGCAAGAGGAGACGGGGCGTGGACCTCGGGGCCAGGCTGGCGGCGCAGGGAGCCCTGGGCTCGGGGCCTCGGACCTGGCCCCGTGCTGCCCTGTGACCACCCTCCTTCCCTAGGTGTGTCCTTATTTGACGCCCCCATGTAAGTGCAAGGGCAGAGACAGGGACAGTGGGGTCAGGTCCCGCCTCCTGGCATCCACGCCCTTGCGCAATCCCTCCCCTTAAATGTGGGCTGGACCTCGTGGCTCACTTCTAATGAACAGACTAGAGTACAGGTCACTTCCAAGATTATGTTATAAAGGACTATGACTTCCGTCTCGGGCACCCTCTTCTCTCTAGCTGGCTCACCTTTATGAAGGCAGCTGCTGTGCTGTGAGCTGCCCAATGGAGAGGCCCATGTGATAAGGAACTAAGGACAGCCAGCCCACCCCTAAGAATCGGAATCCTACCAACAACCACTGACCACTTAGACGTGGACCCTGCCCCAGCTGAACCTGGCAATGATCGAGGCTCTGGCCAACACCCTCGACTATGGCCTTGTGAGGTAGGGGATCCCACAAAGCTGCCTCCAGATTCATGACCCTATTGCTTCAGTGGCTAAACCCTGGGCTAGTTTGTTACGCGGCGGTAGATAACTAATACACAGACTTGACTTTCTTGGTGTCCCCTGCAGCATATACTCTAGAATTTTTCACACATGAGACAATAATTGAATCCCCTTCCCTCCCCATTTCTGGGCATCTGAATCACTTGGAGCGTTTGTTAAAACGAGAGTCAGGCCTCACTCCCAGAGGCTCCGATTCAATCGGTTCAGGGTGATGCCTGAGAATCTGCATTTCTAAAAAAATGCAGGTGATGCTGCCACTGCGGGTGCAGGCACCGCCCTTTGAGAACCCTGGAGAGTGACACTGTGGTTCACGGGGCCCTGAGTTCCCAGGGGTCTTCCAGGCCTGGGAGGAGGGGCAGTGTGGGCTGACCCCAGGCCACCAATTCCATCAAAGCAGCTGTCTTACATCTGCTCAGTCACTGGACATTTTTTGTGAGATTTTGTTTCAAAAAGAGACATGGATAAAGATAAAGCGCAGGAGCCCATACTCTGCCCTCCACGACAGGAGGGCACAGTATTCTCCAAAGTGCACAGCGGGCAGATGCACAATAAATATTTTAAATAGCTTAATCTTTCTTAACATATAAACTTGTTGTCTGACTTGGGCAGTAATTACCAAAATGAAAAACTCAATCCTGAGTGCTTGTCCTCCTTGATGATGGGGCTCTGCCGCCCAGGAAAATGCCAGCAGTGGGCCCCTCTCACGTGTGGTGGGCAAGGTCCCCGCTATCGGGGCAGAGCCTAGTGTCCCCTTCTACCCTGAGAGGAGTTAGGAACCTGCAAAGAGAACCGCCCCCAAGGCAGGGTGGGCCCTCTGAGGGGCACTAGATTGGCAGCTTTACCCCCTCGGTCTAACCACTCTCCTGCCCTGTCAATCCCATCAGCTAACTCTCCTGTGCTGTGGCAGTGGACAGGACTCGCCGTTTTCTCCTCTTGACCACTGCCTCCTCGTTGGTCACCATGGGGGCCAATGGCTGAGGTTTGAAGACTCAGATCCCGGAAGTCCTGCTCTCCAACTCCCACCCCTCCCCTCTGCTCCCATGATCTTCCTCACGTCCTATTGCTGCACTCACCACATGCCCTGACGAGAATCTACGGAGGCTCTTTCCACCTCTATGTCCAGGGTCACACAGCTAATGATCGCTGACTTCAAGGCGCCAGCACAGGCCTTCTGGCCATGCTCTAAGCCACATTTCGCTACGGGGCAAGGGCAGCAGGAGCGCACTGCTCCGGCGGCTGGCACACAGTAGGCACTCAGGAACTGTCGAATGCAGTGAGGCTGAGTGAGGAAATGGATGAGTGGGCTTGAGTCCTGACTTCATCATAAGCTAATTGTGTGACTTGGTCAGAGCCTTTGAGAGCCTGCTTCCTCAGCAGAAGACGGAGAATACTACTTGTCTGGCTTACTTCTTAAAGTTATCCGATCAATTCAGTTATTAATTGAATGAACAGTTGTGATGCACTTGTTATGGCCCAGGCAGTGTGCTGGGTGCTGAGCTAAAAACGTAAACGGAACGTGAACCCTGTACTGAGGGGCTTCTATATTATTGGTGGGACGACTCATAAACAAACACCTCCAATACAGAGTGCTAACGGTGCTAACCGCTGCATACAGGGTCTACGGCAGGGTCCTCCCCTGTGGCTGCACATGAGAATCGCTGGGGACGTGTGAGATATGGAAACGTGCGGAAAAGCAGATTGCTGGGTGCTCCTCGTCACACACTAGTCCAGTTGTCTGACTTCGCAGAGGTCCGCACCTTCCATCATCTATGAGAGGCCTTACAGCTCTGTGAATTGTGGAAGGCGTAGAGCAGTGGTTCTCAACCTTGGCTGCACGTTAGAATCACCTGGGAATCTTTTTTTAAAATCCTGATTTCTGGGCCTCATCCTCCGCAAATTCTGTTTCTTTGTTATGGGGTGAGGCCACAACATTAGTAACAAAGAAACAGAATTTGCGGAGGATGAGGCCCAGAAATCAGGATTTTAAAAAGATTCCCAGGTGATTCCAATGTGCAGCCAAGGTTGAGAACCACTGGCGTAGAGTAATGCAAATGATTCTTGTCCGAAGAAAAACAAATAAATGCAGTAAGGTGGTATGCAACTGCTTATTTGATTATTACCCTCTGGCTATTGACCAGCTTTGCATGTATTTATAAATTCTTTTCAGCATTCCTGATTGGCCATATGTGTGTGTTATTTGGATTACAGTAAGTCCTCACTGAACGTCACCGGTGGGTCCTGTGACTTTAAGAAAAGTGACGTATAATGAAACTAATTTTACCACAGGCTAATGGGTGTAAACAAGAGTTACGTTCCCATGGCACCTCATCAAAATTATCACAAAATGACATTGAAAAGGGACCTCAGTTGAGGACCTGCTGTATTTGAACTAGTTGCAACTCTTACTGGTTCCCTCATTAATTAACAAGTTAAATCTTTGCCATGTGTTCATTTTATATTTGTATGGGATTAATGATTTTACCTTTTAAAAATGTATCCTTTAATAGGAGCTTTTTAAAAACACCCATACTCAAGCTCCGCCCCCCCTGCCCCCCCCCCCCCCCCCCCACACACACAGATTAAACCCAGATCTCCACGGGCGGGGCCTGAGTGACTGTGTTTTAAAGTTTCCTAGGTGATTCTCACGTGCAGATGGAGCTGAGGCCCAGTGCGGGAGGAAGGAAGAAAACGAACGTTGACTGAGCCCCCACTGAAGCTCCGTAGACAAGCAGGGCATTATCCTATTTGGTTCCCACAAAGACCCCGAATTGTCCCCACTGCACAAGCGAGGAAACGGAGACGCAGAGGTGTAGTGACTCGCCCACGTCCACACACACAGGCAGAGCTGGGCTCGAGAGCCAGGTATGTCTAACGCCAAAGGCCATTGCACGGGGTGGGCCAAAGTAGGGTTACAGTTGCGAGTCCATGAAACAGTTTATTGTTGTATGATTATTTATTAATTATTGTATCATTTTCTACAGGAACAACTGTAACCCTACTTTGGCCCACCCCTGTGTTTTTTTTTATTTCATCTAACTGGCCGGAGCCTTTAAGCATTATAAAAATCAAAGATGAGTTTTACTTCACAGGTACTTATAGAAGCCCCACTGTGTGCAAGGCAACGGGGGGACTTTGAGTTGAATAAGACTGGGTTCCTGCCCCATCGCCTAAATTCAGTCTAAACCTTATCATGTCTGACCCGTGTTCCAAAAGAGCTCCTGCATTTGCCTCTCCTGCTCTTTCTAATTCTTCACACCGCCTGTCTTCAGACAAAAGGAAAATTTCTCCTGAAGGCAGAATCTTCCAGGTAAACACCCTGTTTCAAGAGAATCCTCCGTTAAACTGGGCCATTCCTCTCCCTCAGTGCATCGCCTCCTCCCTCAGACACCTGTACCCCCACTCCCACCCCCAAGCAGGACTCTGGAGAAAGCCCAGTGCAGGCGGAGACAGCATTCTTTGCGTACCCCTCTTTCCGCCAGCAAGGAAAACACCCATTAGGGGAGATGACAGATGCTTTTAAAATGGCACTTGAAGCTGCAACAGAGGGGAATTCCCTGGAGATGGATCTGCTGCTGGAGGAGAAAATGGAGTTCCCCTGGAAACAGGACAGGGAGGGGGACTCCGGGGCCCCCATGTCTCCTAGAGCGGGAAAGGGGGTGGTGAGCCGGGCGGGCAGTGATGAATTACCAGGACGCAGGGGTAATTAACATGTGCCCTGGCACAAAGGCCTGTGCAGCCTACAACCCGGGGACTTACTAAAGATGGTTTACAGCTTTCATTACTTGAGCTAATAACAAAGGAAATACATGCGAAAACCTGGATTTTTAAAATTCCAGGAAGCCACCGGGTCCCTGTCAGGCCCAATTTACACCCCTATTAATGCTGGTAGGAACACAACTGAACTGATGTTAAAAAAATCAGTGCGGCTTATTTCATCCTACACAGAAGTGTTGAGTTTTCCAGCAGGAAGGGCTTGGAGCAAGGAGGTGTTAGCAGTGGGGAGCACACAAAGGCATGAGGTCTGTGTACTTGGGAAGGAGGGGCCGGTGGGTGAACCCCTCGCCACCTGTGAGCAGAGCCGAGCTAGCCCAGAACACTCCCAGCTCAGAAACACCCGGTCCTTTCTGAGCCCCTGTCCACACTCCGGGGTCTGAGGATATGAGGGGCCTCACACGGCCCACAGTCTGGGGCACAGGCCACCAAACCCCATAGCACAGGAACTCTCAGACCAACAAAGCCGAAGAGAAGCCCCCAAATCTTTGTTTTACCAAGTGAGTCTGGTGCAGAGGGCCCTAGGGTCTGTGTGCGTAATTGGGGAAGGGACTGTGCAATCCAGGAGGTGTGGGGGCCTCCCTGACCTAAGGGGACCCGGGGCAGCCCCCCAGGGGGAGGAAGA